GACCTGCTCATATTTTCTAATGACCTGTGGAGCATCAGGTGTCCATATGTCCTGATGAGATCACCAGAGAATGCTGAGATTTTTTTTTCTCTGCTGCTCATGTCCTGAGGTCCTCATGCTTCACCTCTTGCTGACACTACTTGGAAGTGAAAGTAGGATGAACAACAGAATGGACTGCGGGTCTTTGTAGGGAATCTGCATGTCATGAAGATCCTTTCCTAGTGTCTTCAGATCTGAAGATCTGGGTTGTAAGCCTAAAGAGGATATGTGAAGTCACTGCTAGCATAGAAACCAAGACTGTTCTCCATGTGAACCCAAATTTGGAGAGGGTAGAGATTTTCTTAGACTGTAACTTGGAAGCAATTTAATTTTTCAACAAGATGGTTTCATTTATATAGCCTCACAATGTCTAGCTTGGAGCTTCTGTTTTCACTCTCAAGACTTGTGATCCAAAGGGACAGTGATAATATGCAACCCACAAAGGTCTGTGCCAAGAAAGCTATAGATGTCTCAATTTGGCCACAGTCCTCTCAAGGATACATATGATCTCTGCTCCAAAAGAAGAGCATCTGGGATGAAACCGTTGGGTCATACACTCCATGTCCCTCTGACATTACCAGGAGTTTGTAAGGTTGAGAAAAGTATTCAATTTGTTTTACCAAAAAGGAAGCCTTAGGATTAGAATTGTAAAAATAAATAATTGATTTCAAAACCTGACTTAATTCTGAATACTTGTCTTTGCTCAGGATGAAGTTGAACCAGACTCAAGAAGCCAACAGTCTGAGGGCTGGTTTTGTTTCTTCCCCTTGAGTATCTCCTAGGGGCCACCTCCAAGAAGTGTTGCTTCAGCATGTAACTAAGAACTTGTTTCCAAAGAGAGCCTATGATGGCTATTCATCAGCCCAACTTGGAAGGAAGTTTTTTCTGTGTATAGGCCACAGGGGGTGGAGAATCATAGGGCTGGAAGCGCTCGGATGAACAAAGTTCTAAGGATTAAGTCAAGAGATGGAGAGAAAATCAAGGAAGAGTGACTTCTGGATTCCCATCTGAGATTGACCTTGCATGAATCAAAGAACATAATAAAGCAATTTTTCAGCCATCTCCACCCCAAATTAAATAAAATGAAAAACAAACCTATTTTTTTCTGATAACTTAAAATACAATGTTTAGGTGTCTCTATAAAGCTATCAAGAAATAATAAATTTTTTGATAGATGGTGTTTGGAACACTGGCTGTTAATATGAATAAATAAATAAAACACATGCATTTTGCCATACAAAAGATTTAACTCCTTAGGCAAGAATAAAAAATGCCTAAAAGTGAAAAGTAAAACTCTAAAACAGATGGAAGAGATGACTTTGTGACGTAGGGTTGGGAAAAGACTTCTTTGACAAGATCTCCAAAATTACAAATAATGAAGTGAAAAATTAATGTATCTGAGTCCATCAAAAGTAAGCATAGAAAGAGCTAGCAAATACATGAAACACTGGGAGAAAATATTTGTGACACTTAAAACCAAAAAGGAACTTTTATGAGAATATACACATTGCTTGTCAGACTTTTGGCTGAGCTCAAGTGTAGTATCTATTCTTATCAGAGTATGCAAAGAACTCAGAATCATCAGGGACAGAAAAACAATAGAAAACTTGGCAAAGGATATATAAATAAGCATTTCATTGGGGCAGAGAAGCCCAAAGGGCCAACATGGAGAGAGAAGCTCAATTTCACTAGTGGTCAGAACTATGCAAGTTAAAACAATGAGTAACCACTTGATGCCAATATGGCAAAACCTTTTATAAGGGCATATATTTCCAGGCTGGGGGTGGAAACAGGGAGACAGGAATGCTTAGTTCTGCTGGAAGGAGTATAAACTCTGCTTGAAAAATTTGTTTATGTCTTATGATTTCACTCCTGGGTCATTATCCCAAAGAAATTCTCACACAGTTCTATAAATATTCAAGAATATTCACTGTGGCACTTATGCTATGGAGGAGTTGGAGACACCTTCCATGCCACCACCTAGAGTGCATTTCTGTATTACGTGGGCTAGAAAGCTAAAAACTGCACTTCCTAGACACCTCTGGAGCTAAGGTTCTGGGTGAGATTTAGGTTCCGCCAATCATGGGCATTCCTGTGAGATTGGGAAGGCAGAAGTATTCTGTTAGTATGAGCTGCTATTTCTCCCTCTCTGCTGGCAAGCATTATTGTGAAGGGGTTTGATTTTACCGTGCTAGTGTTACAAAGGTTACAGTGACAAAGTCCTGACTGGATGTTGAGAGGCAGAGTGCTGGACATCTTTTTTTCCTGGGGTGGATTATGGCATGTATAGTATGTTTCTGGAACAGCAGCAGTAAGAAGCTGCTTCCTGATCAAGGCAATCTCAGGAGAATATTCAGGCAGCTACTGACGTTAAAAGGGAGAACGGCTCTCTGAGTAGCTTTGAAAGTCTTTCCTTAGTGTCAGACCTAGAGTCTTACTTTCTTCAGCATTCTCAATGATTCTATAATGCATCCCCTTTCAGTTTAAATTAAAAGTAGATTCTCATCTCTGCATCTAAACCTAAACCTGATTGATTCTACCAGGATGCCAGAAATTTGTTAATATTCTTCTATGTTTTGCAAATTTTACATGCCATTAAAATTCCATCTCAGTTATTCCTTCCATCAGACAGATCTCTTTCTACTCCCTCCTCTGTGTATCTCTTAGTTTTTTTGGTTTTTGTTTTTCTGAGGGACAGGGTCTTGCCTTGCTGCCCAGGCTGGAATGCAGTGATGCAATCATAGCTCACTATTACCAGAGATTCCTGGATTCAAGCAATTATTCTGTTTCAGTCTCCCAAGTAGCTAGGACTACAGGCATGCACCATCATGTCTGTCTAATATTTTAATTTTTTTTATTCCTTGCAACTTGGGATATAGACTAAAACTATGATTAGAAGGTTTATGTAGGGACAAATGCTTTTGCACTGAAGTTTCATCTTTGTCTGTCTCTCTAAGACTTTTCTGATGACTGTCAACCAGGACATTGTCTTCCTTTTATTTTTTGTCTTGCTATGTTGTCCAGGCTGGCCTTCAACTCCTGGCCTCTCAAAGATCTGGGATTATAGGCATGAACCACCCTCCTGGCTCTGCATCTCACAGTACTTGCGTTGTAAAATTACTTGCTTACCTCTTAGTCTTCCTCTTTAGAACATGAACTCTTTGAGGCCAGAGATGGGATCTCATTCATCTTTGTAATCCCAACTTCTAGCATTACAGCCATGTTTCCTCCCAACTCAGGGCCTTTGCACTCACCAGGGAGGCTCTCCTACGTCTTTTCACCTAATTAAATCTTACTCATCTTTCTGATTAGCTCGATCCTCTTGAGATTGACTTACACTGTTCATTAGAGCAGCCATATGTCACTATTTCAATTAAGTAAATTAAAATTTTAAAATCAGTCATCATCAATCGCACTAGTCACATTTTAAATAAATACACACGTGGTTACCATATTGGATGGAACAGAGTCTACAACATTTTCCCCATTGCAGAAATTTCTTGTTGGACAGCATTGACCCAAATAGATTAGGGCTCTATATTTCATATTATTGTAATACTTTGTACATTTCTTGCATGGCACTTGCCAAACTTATTAATGAATTTATGTCTGTCTTCCCCACTAAATTGTAGGTCCTGTGAAGACAGAAACTATCTCTGTTCTGTTTTCTATTGTATGCCAGTACCTAATGTAGTGCATAACAAATAATGGACACTAAATAGGTATTTGTCAAATGATAAGTGAACAAATGAAGTTATCTTCTAATAAAAACAAAAATTCTGGGAGGCACCTGTGGCTCAGTGAGTAGGCCGCCGGCCCCATATACCGAGGGTGGCAGGTTAAAACCCAGCCCCGGCCAAAACTGCAACAAAAAATAGCCGGGCGTTGTGGCAGGTGCCTATAGTCCCTGCTACTTGGAAGGCTGAGGCAGAAGAATTGCCTAAGCCCAGGAGTTGGAGGTTGCTGTGAGCTGTGACTCCACTGTACTCTACCGAGGGCGAAAAGTGGGACTCTGTCTCTACAAAAAAAAAAAAAAAAAAAATCTATTTCTTGCAATTTGGAATCCAGACTAGAAATATGATTAGAAGGTTAATGTACGGCTGGCTGGGCGCCCATAGCTCAGTGGCTAGGGTGCCAGCAACATACAGTGGAGCAGGCAGGTTCAAATCCAGCCCAGGCCTGCCAAACAACAATGACAACTACAACCAAAAAATAGCCAGGCATTGTGGTGGGCACTTGTAGTCCCAGCTACTTGGGAGGTTGAGGCAAGAGAATCACTTAAACCCAAGAGTTTGAGGTTGCTGTGAGCTGTGACACCACAGCACTGTACCAAGGGCTACATAATGAGACTCTGTCTCAAAAAAAAAAAAAAAAAAAAAGAAGGTTAATGTACGGACAAATTCTGCTTTTGCATTCAAGTTTCAGATCACTTTCTGCCCTTTTTTAACTGAATGTTTTATTCCTTTTCTAAAATGGAGGGAACAACAATGTCTAGCTAGGGAGGATTTGGGAACCTGGTACTTCATTAATACTAAAAGATGATGTTCAAAATGCCAAAATGTGAAACATATGTTTAAAAGAAAATTTCATGTTGTTCTACCTAGTGTTAACCAATTTACATGTTTGTGCATCAGACATAACCAAAAAGATATACTTGTAACAAGCGAGAAATATTTCACTTCATTTATTTAGAATTATGATGATTAATTTTTTATTTTACTCTGTAAGGTAGAAGATAGATTTAAAAGTGCAACTTTATTCTTTTATAAGTTATGCAACAACATACTTTAAAAGAATAAACAATAGAAATAGGTCAATTAGAAAAGCTCTTAAGTGAATACAGTGAAATCAAAATAGTCAATTAAAAATTTCAGCTCTCATAGCTAACAATCGATTACTCGTATTTTGATAATATTAGGAATATTGGCACTTGGTAATCTTAATAGAGCTTTGAAAAATTAGCAGCATGGAATATTATTGCTCTATACCGTGCCCTGACTGTATCTGTTTTCATTGGGATTTAGCTTTAATTAACACATCCACATCAGCTTTGTCTGCCTCTCCAAGACTTTTTTGAAGGCCGTCAACCAGCGCGTTGTCTTCCTTTTTTCGAGGCCTCTGGAAAGCACCATCTCTGGAAGCCAGAGAAGCTCCAAGGGCAATAAAATTGTGCACATCCTGCAGTTTCTTACGCAGCCATTCCACTCTCTCCACTGAGCTCAGATGTTTGCCCAGGTTGTGCATAAACTGTATTTCACTCACAGCTCTCTTCCTGGGAAGAACAGAAAAAGAGGGCCACTCCATTAGCACCTCCCTTTCAAGTCATAAAACCCACCTTAAAAAAAATCCAATTTCCATGCCTTCAGGGCACAGAGCAGTACTTACTTGACAGGTTTCCCATCTGATTTTGTAAGAAAACAAATTGCCATCATGACAATCATTACTTTAGCCATGTCTTTTGCAGGTATCATCCTTGCTACAAGGAAAAGCAAAATAGAGGTATTTAAAAATATTTTTAATACTCCAGACTATATAAATAAATTTACAGTAGTTTTTATTTAAAACCATATAACCATGAATAAAGTATAATAGTAAGTTACTGGGCTGCTTTTCAGGTGAGACTTATGGAGTCAGATTATTTTATGGATACATTAGTATACATTATATATAAACATAATTTGACTTAGGGATGGACAGATTAGTTTTGCTTTCAGTATCTTTTTATGATTCCTTGTGCAAGTTTTAACATATGAATCTTAAGCCACAAGAGGAATGAAAGAGCTTACTTTTGAGAATTTCCTCCGGCATTTTATGTTAGTTATGCCTAAATGCTTATAATTTGCTTGAAAATGGCTAATTTTCTTAATAAGGTAAATTGCTAACATTATTTATTTAGCAAATCTTTTTCATCAGTAAACTTCATTTCAATCCCTGCAATAATGGCCATAAATGCCAAATTAATCGGCTCTGATTTAGAGATTTTTACCAAATTAACACTTCTCCTAGCATTACAAAAAATGTATCAAAACATTTAAAACTCTTCTAATTAACTTGTTATATGTATTTTGAGCTTCAGCTCTAAATGAAATACTTGTGTACATCTTGTTTCTTCAACTTATATTATGAACAATTATCTTTTCATATAATTTTTGGTTCTTTCCTTTTTTGCTCATAAAGCTTTTCATATCAATATAGGATATTTTTGCCTTAATCTGCATGACAATTGCTAAGGCTCTTATTATAGAAGTGCTTTTTCCTAATGCTCAGCATTCTACCTTTTTACCTACACAGAGCAGTCATGTACTCCTTTTGAAGGGAAACCACATCATTTGGAAGTAGCATAAGGAACATTACAATCTGTTACATTTCTATTCACTACATAATATAAAGCTATTGATGGAGCAATAAATGAAAATTTCCTTTTTTGGTTTATGTGAGAAATAAGCACTGTAGTCAGAGGACAGGAGTGCTGGTATGTAATCCTCATTATGCCACATTCTCTTAGTGACCCCAGACATCTCTGCTTTGGTTACTTATTAGTAGAGAGATAGATGAGCTTCATATAAGAATGTCTTGAGAAGGAGCTGAAAAATGGTTGTGAAACACCCTTAGAATTCATGTAATACAATTTTCATGAAATGCATGAAATACAGTTTTCAGGAATACATAATAGAAAAGCCTGTCATTTATATAAAGGGAATAAATACTCAGCAGTCAAACCGAATTTATCCAACTTTCGTATATAGACTGAGCTCTTTATAAGGCATAAAATAAACAATCTGGATAAGGACACTCTGCAGGAAAAACGGAATTTTAACTATACTTAATGTATGGTGGTTATTTAAATCAGAACTATTCATTCACCATCAGCCTGTTTTATTTCCAAATTTCTATAAGGATGCTGTTAAAGTATGTAATACCAAGTTTTCATTATTTTTCCTCCAATTCAGATGAATTTTTGAAAAGCAATATATCTCAAAATACTTTAATCATGTAAATAAATGATGTATGAGTCCTTTAGTATCCTATATTTATTTCGCATTGTGGCATTTTATATTAAATACAATTCAACTCCCTTAATATTTTACCTTGAACAAACAACATATTTGTAGAATGTGTAATGTCTGCATTAAGTAATTACTTGATTATCAAAAATTTCATAAAATTAAAAATAATTTTGAGACTACTTACCATACAGGAGCTTAGAGCAAGGTCTTTCAGGTATATTAGTAGCTGATGTTGACTGAATAAAATAGAGAAAGCTGATGAATTGGACTGCAGACCCTTAAATTTGACTGGTATATATAGGTCTTCTACTCACCAAGAGCAGCATTTTTATTGTTACAGATGATGTCACTCCAATTCTCTGGATCTCAACTATAGGATCAAAGCAGCACACACACCCCCATTGGGCGGAGCCAAATTCTCTTACTCTTAGATAATTGGATACTTAAAAGGAAAACAGTATGTGGCTGGGAAAAGAGCCTATGCAAAGACTTTTAACAAACACTGAATGTACCACCTAGAAAAATTCCAATTAGCCAGATGAATCTAAATTTTATACTACAAAAAGACTAATTTTAAAGATTTATCATAAAATCCTCATCTTACTTGAAAGTAAAATCCTAAAATAAGCATATTTGTTATAGCCATACTGCAGTACAATTATTATGATAGTAAGTCATATGTTATGCATATTTTATAAGCCATTTTTAATCAATTCCTATCATCTCTGGTCATCTTTTTAAAAAAATAGCTATAGTGCTTTTCTTAAAGAAAATGTTAAAAATAATTTGAGAAAATGCTCTTCGTACCTCATTAATTTTAAAAGCTGAAAAAAATGAAATTCATTTATATACATTTTATTTTGTGCATTTCAATCTGTCATAATAACATTTGAACTATCTGCTAGACTTTCTTTTTTTTTTTTTTTTAGACAGAGCCTCAAGCTGTCCCCCTGGGTAGAGTGCCATGGCATTACAGCTCACAGCAACCCCCAACCCCTGGGCTCAAGTGACTCTCCTGCCTCTACCTCCCAAGTAGTTGGGACCACAGGCGCCCGCCACAACGCCCGGCTATTTTTTCTTTTTTTGGTTGCAGCCGTCATTGTTGTTTTGGCGTGTCCGGGCTGGGGATTCGAACCTGCCACCTTAGGTGTACGTGGCTGGCGCCTTAGCCGGTTGAGCTATAGGCGCCGAGCCCTGCTATAGACTTTCTATGTATGATTCCACTAAATCTTTATGGCAATCCTTTAAAGTAGGTACTATTATTATTTCCATTTTCACATAAGGAAACTTAACCTTGGAAAGGGGAGAAGATGAAATTCAACAAAAATTATTATGTCTCAAGAGACAGTTTGATTTGTACTATCTCTGTTTCTCCCTAAAATATAGCCCCTTTTGAGCCCCAGTCTTCTGGCCTTTAATTTGCCTAGACCTTTGCAACATCTTTGACCAGAGATTGGTCCTTAATTCTCATGTTCTCCACTAGGTGATTTTTTTTTTTTTTTTGAGACAGAGCCTCAAGCTATCCCCCTGGGCAGAGTGCCATGGCGCCACGGCTCACAGCAACCTCCAACTCCTGGGCTCAAGCGAGTTTCCTGCCTCAGCCTCCCAGGTAGCTGGGACCACAGGAGCCTGCCACAACACCTGGCTATTTTTTTTTGGTTGCAGCCGTCATCGTTGTTTGGCAGCCTGGGCTGGATTCAAACCCGCCACCTTAGGTGTATGCGGCTGGTGCCTTAGCCACTTGAGCCACAGGCACCGAGCCTCCACTAGGTGATTGAAAGCCTGCTCCAAAGCCTGAGGGAGCCATGATGCTGCCACCTGCCTGACTTCAAATATTGCTGCAGCCTGGTCCTAACTTATCAAAGCCTCTTGAAAGGTTTATCTAGGGATCATCTATGCAGCTTTGCCTTCCAACTAAAGGTCCAGAGTTGAATCAGTTCTCTTCGTTCTGGTCCTAACCAGGCTTTGTGTTATCCCCTTTCCTATAACCATTGCCAAAGTTTGACTTTACCTTACTCAAGAGCCAGAACAAGTTTGAATAGCACCTAAATGGAGTCTAGAATAAGAGATATACAGGATGACCATAAAGTTCATGTGCAATTCAAAATTGCTATAATTAGCTATAGTGCTTTTTTGGGGGGGGTGGGGCTGGGGCTGGGTTTGAACCTGCCACCTCCGGCATATGGGGCTGGTGTCCTACACCTTTGAGCCACAGGTGCCGCCCCTATAGTGCTTTTCTTAAAGAAAGTGTTAAAAATAATCTGAGAAAATGCTCTTCGTACATCATTAATTTTAAAAGCTGCTGAAAATGAAAAAGTCAAAATTGCACATGAACTTTATGGCCACCCTCTATTTTAGTTTTGCTCTGGAAAATGCTCTGCAGTGGGTAAATCTCACTTGGAGGATTATTCCAGGCTCCATGTTGGAAGTATTGAGACAAACTGGAACATATCTTGAGACTATAAATCGCTGTGAAAATGTTGAAAAATATGACATATGAGAAACAATGAATGAAACTAGCCTAGAAGAGAAAAAGATATGAGATAACTATATAGCTGTGTTTAACTATTTATAAGGCTACCATAAGGAAGAAGGAAAAATTCTTTGTGGTTTGAGAAGGAAGAACTGGGTTCAATGGCTAAAGACTACCTGAGCCTAAATCTGCCCCCTGGCAGAGGCTCCCCTTTACTGAAAGTATTCAAATAGGAGGTAGATGAACAATAAACATTAATCAGGGCGCTTATAGAGATTCATAAATAGAAGAGGGTTGAATTAGATAACCAAGAAGTCCCTTT